CCCGTGGCCCCCTGTCCCCCTCCCCGCCCACGCTCCGGCCCCGCTCCCCTCCCACCCCCGCCCCCGGCTCTGATTTCTTCTCTCCAGCGAGCTCCGCAGGAGACACAGGCGCTGGCTGCTCGGTCCGCTCTCCGCCTCCGCCGCGCCCTCCTCGCCCGGGATGGGCCCCCCCGCCGCCACCGCCGCCACCGCCGCCGGCGGAGTACTAGTCTCTCCGCCGCCGCCTGGGTCGCCGCGCTTGTCCTGAAGTCCGGCGGCCGCGCACCCCGGCTCACCCCGCAGCCTCACTCCCCGGCCAGAGCCAGACTGCGGTAGAGCGCTCACGATGCTGCCGCCGGTGCCCTCCCGCCTCGGGCTGCTGCTGCTGCTGCTCCTGTGCCCCGCGCACGTCGGTGGACTGTGGTGGTGAGTGCCGAGTGGGACTGTCCCCCACGCAACTCCCAACGCCAAAGGGTGGGGACCCCGACTCAGCCTTGGGACTCAGCACCGCGATTCTGCTGCCTTCAGGCTCTTCCCGCTCCGGGATCCCAGCCCCTGGGCTGTTGCACTGGGACCCCTCGCAGACAGCCCCTCTCTGTCCCTGCCCAAGCCCTTCTGAAGTGCCACTTTGACGCTCCCTACCCCTGGATAGTCCATTGTGTTTCTTCCCCCTGTGTTCTCCCCCACCTCGCCAGAGAAATGTGTCCAATTCATATCACGAGGAACTGGCAGGTAGGTAGGGAAAAGCTGCTGGACGTCATGAGATCCACAGTGAGAGATTGGGTAAGAACGGGAGAAAGAGCGAGGAGGGCTCTGGAGCTGGATTTGGGGAAAAGACTGGAACAAGGTGGGAAGCTGCCTCTTTCCCGCCCCTCTTACCTACGGCCTCGCCATTGGGGGCGATTTCAGCGTGGGCGGTGAAGAGGAAAAGGGAATGTAAATGGGGAAACTGAGTCAGGACTCTGCCTTTCTTCACCGCTTTCTCTCCCTAGCAAGTAAGAAAGACAGGAAGGAGATCCTGAGGGCCGGCCCTTCCAGACGTGGGAAGTAACGATTTTTTAAAAAGTGTAGCGGAGATGTGGGAACCGGAGAGCGTCCTAGTGAAGCGAGTAAGAGCCAGGCCAGTCAAGGGATGGGAGAAATTCTCAGACTCTGGGGTTGGATTAGCCAGAACAGACACCTAGACTTCGAAGGTTTCCAGAGCTTTGAGCCTTGAGGGATAGGATAGGGGAGGAGAAGCGGGGGCCCGGCCGGGATCAGCTCAGATCCAAATCCTCACGACTTTTTTTCCTCTTAGTTTTTAGAGCCACAAACACCCGCCCGGAATAGCTCAGTGTTCAGAGAGGAGGGATTTGGGCAAGAGTGCTGATAGATTAGCCAACCCTAAGAAAGCAAGGACTTTTATATTTGCATAGCGCCGCATGATTGGCTGAACTCCTACCCTCTCAGCCCTCTCCCACCCGCCTTCGCTTTGGACCTAGGGGTGGGGCAGGCCCATCCCTCTCTCCGGCTGAGATTGAGTAGTATGCCCACACAGGAAGCTGCTGGCCGCTATCCTTCCGCGATGCGGGAGGGACATCCTCGCCGGTGTCAGTGAGAGGGCAAATACAAGACCCAGGTTCGGGTTCAATAGGGTTCAGGAACACGCATCTTTAGTTTGCAGTGCGGTACTCAGCAGTTTTGACAGAAGGGTCTTAAGCAAATCACTTTCTCACCCTACCCTACAAACTATTTTTAAAGAGCAGTCTCCCTACCTGGCAGGCTTGCCGGCAGGACTGGGTGGGAAGATCTATGGAATGACTTCACATTAGGAATCCTCTTCCCAATCCAGCTTATCACCTATCCACTCCCCGGCGAGGCAGGGGGTGATGAAAAGCAGGGTTCATTTAAATTCAGAATATAGCATCAAAAGTAATACTTGGCAAAGAGCTCCCTCCCTCCGCCCTCTTACACACCTTTCCTAATTTTACTCTTTCTCAAGATGTAGGACAGGGTTGACCCTACCATCTCTTTCTTCCTTCCCCATTGTTCTAACAATCAAAATACCACTTCCTCCACGAAGCTGTCATTCTGTCTGACCAGTCCTTCCCCCCCCCGCTGCTATCCATGCTCTGAGCATTGGGCAGCTATGCTGCAGCTACTGCATTTTGCTGACAATTGTCTTTTCTGGGGTCTTTTTGCCCTGTTCCTTTGTCTCCAGAGGTCTAGAAGTCCAGGACACTGTAGGTGCTGGACACAGGTTTATGGAGTGTTGCTTCCTGGGCTTAAATCTGTGAAGATTCCTTTGCTCAGGAAGGACGGCTGGGTGGATGCCAAGCCAACGAGAGAGGGGCCTGGGCCCTCTGGAGACTGACCCTGAAGCTGGGAAGCAGGGAGGGGGGAGGAGGGGAGGAGGGCAGGTGTGTGGGAGAACACAGGGGCCTTCATGGCCACAGCTGCAGTGAAGAGTGAGAGCCAGGGTGATAAGGTGATCAGCGAATGCTTCTCTCAGATGTGTCTCAGACAGGACCTGTTCCTCCCACCTGTCTTGGTCCCTTCTCTGTCTATTTCTGACACTTAATTTCTTTGGTCTGAGCCCAGGTTGACTTCCATGGTCTTTGACTCCTGCTCATGCTCCTGTCCTGTCCTATCCTTCCCAGGTCAGGCTTGGGCCTGCGGGTAGATCTTGCTGGGTTCTTCGGGACTGGTGTCTAGGACCAGATTTGCTGCCCCTTCCTTCTCAGAGGACGATGGCCAGGCCAGAAACTCCATGGGTGGCCAGAAAAGCAGTGTGACCTACAGCAGCCATTTTCACAATCTAGCCATGGTCAGGATAGGGGCTGGGAAGATTACAGGGTCTCTGAGTGACTTGACTGTCTAAGTCACTAAAAGAGGATCCTGGAGGAGAGTGGACACAGGCCTTGGACTAGTCAGCTCAGGGGCCAGGCCTTCTGGTTCCTGAGACTTTTTTCTCCACCTTTCTTTCCCCTCCACCTCCTCCCAAGGCAATGTGAGATTTCTATTTTTAATTTTTTTGTTTAGTTTTGAGACAGGGTCTTGCTATGTAGCAGTGCATGCCTTCTAAGCGCCGCCGCCGGCAGCCTCTGTGTATCTCTCCAGTGTAACCATATCTTTGTGAATCATGGAATCCCAGATTCCAGGACACTGGCCAGGCCCTCTTGAGGTCATCTTGTCCATCCCCTGCCTCCAGGCCATCCAACCTATGCTCTGTCCTCCCTCCAAGAACTCAGTCCTGAGAGTAAGGGCAGGAGAGAAGTTCCTGGGTCACCTGGTCCCCCTCCTCCCTGCTCCCTGCTCCCCTCTCTACACTGTCTGATCCATCTTTATTTGTACCTTCAATCAGTGGATACAGAAAATAGCACACTCTCACAGAAGAGCCAAATCGATCTCCCTTCTCTCTTCCTCTCTCCTCTCACTGTTCTGTATGTTCTGTGAAAGAAACTAATTCTCCCCTGTGCCACCAGGAGGAAGCCGCCCAATCTACCCCCAGCCATCTCGCTTTGCTTCCCTCTTTATGGAAAAGGAACCCAGAGCTAAAGGTCAAGGACAGTCTCACTGCTGACCCCACAGGGAAGCAGGGAAAGGACCAGACCTCTTCTTGGCACTCAGCTTTCCTAGCTGCCCTCTGCCATACTTTTTATGTGTCCATGCTGGTCCTGGTCATTAGGCCATCCTGTCTTTATCTGGGGCCCCTGACCCTTGTTGGTCAATGCTGATGCTGGCTGGCTCTCATCACTTTCCATAGTAGGGATGGCTTGGGGGTGGGGTAGCCACCCAGTCCCCTTTCCAGGCCTCAGCCTTGGCAGCTTCCCTTCTGGGGAGACAATGAGGCTGTGAGCAGGAAAGGGCAGGGGCAAAGGGAGGCTGGCTTGATCCCGGCCAGAGCATGCCCTGGGCCCACCAGAGTCCTGGCACTGTGACATTTCCGGGGGTGGGGGTGGAGGGGTAGGCTCCCTCCTGCCCCATTCGAATCCCAAGCCAGGAGTTGGTGACTGGAGGTCAGTGGGAGGCCCCATCACCAGGGCCCTACAAGGGGGATTCCAGATTTTGTGCTTTGATGGGGAAGTGCAGCTGTGGAGAGAACCCGGCAGGGCAGCAGCCAGCCCTTGCCAGCCAGCAGGAGGCCTCAGGGAACCAGATGCTAGCGCCCTGCAGACTGATGAGAGCGCCCCCTAGCCTGGTATTTCTTCCCTGACCAGCTGGGAGTGTGTGAAGGGAAATGTGGCCAGGAGGAGGCTTCTTTGGCTGGTTCTACCAGCCCGAGCCCTCTGTGTAATCTAGAATTTGATCTAGAAAGGACTGAGAGGTAGCCTCGTCTATTATGGTCAGTGGTGACAGTAGAACGTCCCGTCCCGGGACAGGAGAGGACTTGCCCAGTGCTAAGCCTGTAGTTGAGAGTGGGATTGTGAGTTCTGTCTCTTTTTCAGTGCCCTCTCCTCTGTGTACAGTGGGGTGGGAATCAGGGTGAGGGACAAGGCCTTCACAGGCCCCAGTGCTCCCCATGCCACCCTCAGATGGGTGCTCCCCATTCTACATGCAAGAGCAGGGTGACAACTGTCCACCAGGCATCCAGTGGAGGGGATTGCCTCTGGAGCTTTGGCAAACAGGATGCCCTTTTGCACAGTAAAGTCTGTCTGGGAAGGGAAAGCCCCTGCCTCTCCAGAGAGAGAGAGAGAGAGAGAGAGAGAGAGAGAGAGAGAGAGAGAGAGAGGGGTGTGAGGAAGGACACGGGAACCAAATTGTGTCTGTGTGGGGAAGGGTGAGTGGGGGCCACAGGTGGGCAGTGGAGAGGCAGGGGTTAATGGAGCTGGGGCATCACTGACTTTGATGTGGTGGTTGGGATGGGGGTAGGGGCTGGGGGAGGGGAACAGTAATTACCGAGTTAGGAGTTAGACAGAGCAGGACAGGACAGGCTGGCGGGCACAGGCCCGGCAGCCTCAGCAGCCGTCAGGCAACATTTTTCTGCCCCCTTTCCACCCCCCACCTCCCCCACCTCCACACACCCCCACCCACAGCCCCAGGGCTCAGAGCTCCCTCTGCTGGCTCCTAGGAGGTGGGGTCAGATGAAGGATCGTGGGGGTAAGGAGTTGGAGGAGGGGTAGAGAGACTGAGAACGCATGCTTGCTGTGAGACTTTCTTAGCAGGTTAGGCACTCACTCACGTGGTCTGTGTGGTCCAGTTGGCCTCAGTGACCCAGCTGGGCGAGGAGATGGGTCCTACAGGGTGCTCTTGTCCCTGGTCAGCTGAATGGAGAAGGAGACCTTGATCGACACTGGACAGGAAAGACAGAATGTTACAGAAAGAACATTCTTGGGACTCCACAAATACCACCTACATCCATCCCTACCAGTAAGCCTGCATTGAGCAGGCTTGAGAACACAAGCACTTGTCAGGATCCACACTCTGTACAGGACATTACACATGGGGGGAGGGATTATGATTTCCATTTTCCAGTCGAGGAACTGGTGTTTAACTTTTGTCATCCATCCAACAAATATTAAGTGTGTTTCGCATGCCAGGGACTCACTCCACATCACACAACCAAATGACAGAGCCTAGATCCAGCCCAAGCCTGGGTCCCCAAAGTCCTGTGTGGGCACCAGGCCCACCTGTGAGATTCCTGTCCTTAAAGAGACTTCTACCTAACTGAGGAGACGAGACAGTGGCCTTGCTGGCAGAACACACTCAAATGAGTGACAACCAGAAGGACACAGCTGGGGCCCGTGCTCCTGAGGGAGAATGGAAGGAGACTGGAGGGAGGTTGGTTAAGAGCATCCTGATGGCATACAACTGCAGAGGAAGTGGCCTTGTGTCCAGAAATGTGGCTGGGATGGAGCCAGAGCCATGACAACTGGGGGGGGGGCCTGTGGACTGTGTGAGAGGCCTCCTGGGGTCTTCCTATGATGCAAGCAGCTCCTTCCCTCCATCCAGTCCTGCTTTAGGTATTGTCATTTTTTTTTTTATTTTAACAGTACTGGAGGTTGAGCCCACAGCCTCCATGCTAGGAAAGGATTCTACAGCTGAACATTTGTTTGGTGGGGTGACTTTTAATTTAGAATTAGGGTCTTACTAAGTTTCCCAGAAAGTACTTGGGCTTACAGTCCTCCTACCTCAGCTTCCTGAGGAGCTGCCAGGCTGACTTCTAACTCACACAGACCTACCACCTGCCTCTGCTGCCCAAGCATTGGGATTAAAGTGTATGCCACCATGCCTGGCTCTGTTTTGATTTTTAAATCGCCTAACCTGTCCTGAAATGAGGAGTCCCTCCAGTAAGTGGCCAGTGACCAACAACTCTCTGTTCACCTTGCTCACCTGTGTGACCCTGACATGGCTGAGGTGAATGAGCTAGTCTCCAACATTTTCTTCTAGTCTCTGAACCCAGAGGTAGAAGAGTATGCTGAACCAGAATGTTGGGTCTCTGGGGCACAGGCCTATAGATATTGCTAGTGGTAACTGTCTGGCCTCTGATGCTATTTCAATGGGGCACTGATCCATCAACTGCAGTCCTGGAGAGAGAATTCTCATTGCAGGCCGGGACAGTTAGAGTGGCCTGGTAGGCTTGTCCCTTCTTGTCTGTATCCTGAGTTCCTTTAGGGCTAGCCATGCTCTCCGTGCCCAGAAGTGGCAATAAGATTATACCCCAGAGCCTACGTAGTATATCTATTTCTTACCACCATTCGTTCATTTCAGAACTTAAAATATGCAAATTACTCTGAAAGTGTATCTTCTCTGGGCTGACCCCAGGTTAACACTGACCCAGACTCCCCCAAAGCACAGCTCATTATGCAAAGAAACAAAAGGGCAGGAAGCAAAGTAAATGAGAGGGAATGAGAGAGGACGGCTGGGAGTTGTTTTAGATGTGGAATCAAATATTACCACCGAGACTGGGGCACTTTTTGCATCAACTCATCATTTTTCCTGAAGCCCATAGAGGAAACTGACCGGTCTGGAATGGCTCAGCCCACCCAGAACTGACAAAAACCAGGGTCAGAGGTAGGGCTGGGAAGTTTGTTCAATCCCCTCTGTCGTGTGTCTTTTCTGGAGTTTCATTTCCTATGCCTTTAGGATGGGAGCGAGGACAGGAGGGCAGGGAACAAGCTGGTCCCTTGGGATTCTAGTGTTATCACTGCCCATCCCTCCTCCTGACCAGCTGGTAAACAAGACTAGTTCCCAGGAAGCCAGCCAACCCCACAACCCTGTAAAGGGCCGGCCCCACCTCCTGGGGGCCCTACCCTTCATATCCCCACGATTCTTTCCCTATCTCTACCCCTGGGAAGCCAGACAAGGCCAAGAGGGTTTTGCAGTTCTCTTTTGCACGCCCCAAACTCTTTCCAGCTTTGCTAAGGCAGGAGGAGGGAGAGGGGAGGGATGGGGCAGATCGACCTTGGGAAGATAAGTCCATTCAACCTTGGGAAAATAGGGAGTGTGCAGAGGGCAGGGGTGGGGCGTGGCTGGGGAACTTAGCAGCCCGGGGCATGGAGCTGGGGAAGGCCAGTTTTCAGAGCCTTACACAGTCAGGAGGGGTTAGATGTGCAGGTGGTAGAGGGGAACTGGACAGCTGCAGGGAGGCCTGCTTTGGTCCTCCCATCTCAGGGGGGAAAGAAATGTTTGAGGATATGACACTAGGAGTCATGAAATGATACCACATCAATGGGACCTGGCCTCAAGGGACGGGGGGGTGGGGGAGTGGCTTATGGCTGCTTGCTCATTCAGGAACATATGTTAAGTTTCCCTTGTCATTATATACCTATATCTATTCGTCTATAATGTGGGATTCATGACATGCCAATTTCAGAATAAACATTGCAGGGATATAAATCAGGTACCCAGAAAGCTTCCAGGGAAGATAAAGAAAAAGGAAGAAAGAAAAAAGAGTGTCCCAACAGTGAGGGAGCTCATAACCTTATCTACCTACCCTGAGCAACCATGCTGGAAGCCACTCCTCTCCAAACCCTTTCTTAATGAGGTGAGTGAGTGGACAGATTTATTAGCGAAGATACACACAGAGAGATAAGACTGAGTTATTTTTGTAGTGCAATTTTCAGTCTAGACTTTAGTAAAGAAGGGCCACAGACACGCGATGGACAAAGTAGCAGTGGGACAAGACCAGTCTCAGTTGGGGTAGGATAGACAGGTAGGTGGATGAGCAGAGAGAGGCTGATCAGTTCTCCAAGGTCACTGGCCATTGACAGCCAGTTTGGGCTGTCCTAACCCTGGCTCACTGCTCATTACTCCCATTGGTTCCTTCTCTGGGGCTGAGAGAGAGGGTTAGGTTAGGGTTGGTGATGGCCAGCCCCAAGCTCGATGCAAGAGAACCTTTTGGCATGTTTCTGCCAAGAAGAGAGAAGAGATTCTTGATGCCTGAACTAAGAGAGAGAGAGAGAGAGAGAGAGAGAGAGAGACAGAGACAGAGACAGAGACAGAGACAGAGACAGAGACAGAGACAGAGAGACAGAGAGAGACAGAGAGAAATATCCCTAAAAGACTTTTCCCATCTTTCTACAAACATCTCTCTGAGCACTCATCTTCAATGTTGAGAGTTTTACCTTAAGACCTAAATTCCTCTTGCTGCTATTTAAGACCATTACATCTCAGGACATGCCTGGGCAGCCTGTACTTGTGGAGTAAATGGGGACAGTGGGGCGGATATGCACGGAAGCAAAGCTGAAAAGTAGGCCACCCTGACCTTTCACACTCTTTTGCCAACATTTCCCTGTACATTTCATACCCCACTGACTCCGATGTGCAAGCCCCGCCCCCATCTCGCTCTCTCTGCCCTCTGCAGAAGGCTTTTGAATGGTCTCAAATTAACCTCCTTAGCTCTGCCCACATATCCCTTCAAGCCTGAGCTCTCAGCTATGTTCATGTAGGAGCCATCTGATTCAAGGGGTTCCCCCCAGGTGTGAATTCCTGGCTGACAACCTATGGAAAGCAAGTGGCAGCTCTCTCCTCGGGTGGAATGAAGGTGGGCAGGGTAAAGAGGCTACTGACAATGTGCAGAACTTTCCATCAGGTCTTTACCCCCCAAACCAAACATCATCCCCCGCCACACACACACACCCCCAGTTGGTTATATCACTCTAGCACGCAGGGCTTGGCTTGGTGCCACCTCTCTCTGGGAAAGCCAACTACCCTGGAGCAAGAGGAGGGCAGCATCACCTATTCACCAACGATGCTGAGCAGCTACGTTCCCAGCTCCTTCTTCCATCTGTCTGGCTTGGGGAAACAGGGGTGGAGGGTGGGGGGTGGGGGATGGGGTGAGGGGAGCAAGATAGGAGGGTCGCTTCAGCCATCTAAGCTAAATTTTCTCACTTTACAGAAAAGGTTGAACTAATGGGCTGTGGCTTTTTTCAGAGGCTCTGTTCATAGACATTCTAATACCTCATGGTTGTTTTGTCTTTCAGGTGGTCCCTGCTTTATACTGGGGCTGTCCAGGTTGCCGGCCTGCTAAGGCTACATCCTTGATACTGTCTATTTTTCTTTCTTTTTTTCTGAGACAGTGTTTCTCTGTGTGACTGCTCTGGTTGTCCTGGAACTTGCTCTGTAGACCCTGCTGGCCTCTAACTCACAGGGATCCGCCTGCCTCTGCCTCTCAAGTGCTGGGATTAAAGGCGTGCACCTCCTTCCCTCCCCCACTTGTCTACTTTTCTGCTAATTTCTTCCTTGTTTCCTTTTTGATCTTGGCCACCAGTGGTGACAGCTGCCCTCACCTTGATCGAAGTTCCTTTAAGGGTTTGTTAATGAAGATGCCCACAGAAGGATAAAACTGAACTTTTGTTGTGATGCAATTGTCAGCCTAGACTTTAGTAGAGAGGGGAATGGAAAGGGAACCAGAGGGACGATACAAATCCCAGCTGAGGGCAGGACAGAGAGACTCTGTAGGCCCTGGCTATAGGCTGAGCCGTGTCAGTTCCCTCTTCATCCCCACCCCATCCCAGGCCTTCTGTGTTTTGGGAGGTACACTCCTGACCTGCTGTTCTGTTCCCCAGGGCTGTGGGTAGCCCTCTGGTCATGGATCCCACCAGCATCTGCAGGAAGGCCAGGCGGCTGGCGGGACGGCAGGCTGAGCTGTGCCAGGCAGAGCCGGAAGTGGTGGCAGAGCTCGCCCGGGGCGCAAGGCTGGGGGTCCGAGAATGTCAGTTCCAGTTCCGTTTCCGACGCTGGAACTGCTCCAGTCACAGCAAGGCCTTTGGGCGCGTCTTGCAGCAGGGTTAGTGTGGGAGAGGCCTGAAGGGAGGTGCTTTCTCCTGGGGGGGGGGGAGAGAAGCAGGTTTGGGGGGGCTGCTTGTATCCTATCTCCTGATTTAACCCTAGGCACTCTGCCCACCTTGGCCCAGGACAGGCTGCGGGAAGGGGAGTCCCTATTCCCATCCATGACACTGGGCACTCACTGGCCTGGGCTCTGTCCTTCCTCCGCAGATATTCGAGAGACAGCCTTCGTGTTTGCTATTACCGCAGCCGGCGCCAGCCACGCTGTCACGCAGGCCTGTTCCATGGGAGAACTCCTGCAGTGTGGTTGCCAGGCACCTCGCGGGCGAGCACCGCCAAGGCCCCCTGGCCTCCTGGGCACTCCTGGACCTCCAGGGCCGACAGGTTCCCCAGAGGCCAGCGCAGCCTGGGAGTGGGGAGGCTGTGGAGACGATGTGGACTTCGGGGATGAGAAATCAAGACTCTTCATGGATGCCCAGCACAAGCGAGGACGGGGAGACATCCGCGCACTGGTGCAACTCCACAACAATGAGGCAGGCAGGCTGGTGCGTATGGGCGTGGAAGTGTGGGTGTGCACGGAGTGCCAGTGGGTGTGGCGGAGTGTGGGTGGCAGCATATTTGTGGTAGCATGGGCACAGGTAAAGGTGTGAATGTGTAGGAGGGTATCGATGGGACAAGACTGGGGCAACTTGGGAAGATTGGGACTCGGGCCGGGACATAGCAGGTGGGATGTCAGTCTAGAGGGCTGGGGCTCAGAGGGAGGGCGTGGAGCTCAGAGGAACGGTGAGCACAGTGAGGAGAGAGCACTTGTGGAATAGTACTGAGGGCCAGCACTATCTGAGGGTGGGGTGGGCATCCTTCAGATACACGACATCAGCAGGGTACTGAGGCAGAGGGGAGGGATGGAGTGAAGAATAGAATCCATGGGAAAATCTGGGGTCTGGTGGTAGAGGTAGCAGAGAAAGTGGGAGTTAGAACAGACTAGAAGAATTGTCTTGGAAAGGACTGAAGGATCACGAGTCCGGTGATGGCGGTAGAGGCCAGGACAGCCTAGACCCAACTTCAAACAAGCAAGCAAGGGGCAAGAGTTCGATCCTGCTCTCCTTGGTGGAGCCTCCTACATCCTATGTCTCAGTTCCAGACCAGTTGAGGAACACCCCCACACACACACATACACACACACGTTCTGTGTCCTTTAAGGTTCAGCTCAAGGCTGAGGGGGCCCAGGAGAGGAATGTCCGGACAGGCCCACATACCTGTTGTGAGGATTGGGGAGGGGTGACAGAGACAGACGCCCAGGCGGCTGGCTGTGTCTGTTCAGCTCTGCCTGGGGCCGCGAGGGGCAGGAATGAGGAGGCCAGGTCGGCAGGAGGGCTGCGACAGCTGCCGCTTCTCCCCACTCCAGGGAGAATGGCGAATCTCACCACTGCGTCCATTCCATTCTCTCCCACTCCCTGGCTACCGGACCCTGGAATCTCCGCTCTATCTGCTCTTCCCACTTCCCACGCTCCTACTACTTCATCTTTGTCATTCTCTCTGAGCGGTCATTTTCCTGATTTTCTCCTTCTAACGTTGTGCCTCCCTGCCTGCTTCCTTCCTTCCTTCCTTCCTTCCTTCCTTCCTTCCTTCCTTCCTTCCTTCCTTCCTTCCTTCCTCGCCCCCACCCCATTCCTTCCCTCTGTTTCCTTTACCCTCTCTGCCCCGCCCATCACCCCGCCCTTCTGTTCCCGCAGGCAGTGCGGAGTCACACGCGCACTGAATGTAAATGCCACGGGCTTTCGGGTTCCTGTGCGCTGCGCACCTGCTGGCAGAAGCTGCCTCCATTCCGCGAGGTGGGCGCACGGCTGCTGGAACGCTTCCACGGCGCCTCGCGTGTCATGGGCACCAACGACGGCAAAGCCCTGCTGCCTGCAGTCCGCACGCTCAAGCCTCCCGGCCGAGCCGACCTCCTCTACGCGGCCGACTCGCCCGACTTCTGCGCCCCCAACCGGCGCACCGGCTCGCCGGGCACGCGCGGCCGTGCCTGCAACAGCAGTGCCCCGGACCTCAGCGGCTGCGACCTGTTGTGTTGCGGTCGCGGACACCGCCAGGAGAGCGTACAGCTCGAGGAGAACTGCCTGTGCCGCTTCCACTGGTGCTGCGTAGTGCAGTGCCACCGCTGCCGCGTGCGCAAGGAGCTCAGCCTGTGCCTCTGACCTGCCGCCTGCCTCGGAACTGCACGCCTCCGCCTCTTGGCAATCTGCAGGACCACTAGATTCCAGCAGGGGGCACTTTCTGTGCCCAGCTGCTCCCTAGGAAAAATGCATATCTAGGTCTTGGGAAACAATGGGGGCTGGGAGCTTGAGTTTTACACTTGACCCCGAATGCCTGAGGACCCTGTTCCTCCAGCATTCCCCAGAAGGGCCTTCTGCTAGTTTCTGCAGGAGACTATGCAGGCTCTCCCTCCCCCATTGGCCTCCCAGATGGAAATAAAAAAACAAAAAACAAACAAACAAACAAAAAAGCCAGACTCTGGACTCTGGAGATTGTACTCCTTAGAATTACTGGGGTGGATGGGCGAGTTTAGCATCAACAAAGACAATAAACCCATAGAACAGGACCCATAGGGAGATAGTCCTAGAGGGCCAGGGTATGGGAGGGAGGTGATCCTGACAGAACTAGCATTTTGGCCTGAATCTGTAATCCCACCCATCACCAAGGCAGGGGAGGCTGAGGGAGAGCCTTGGAAACCCTGTACCTCTCCTTCAGCACCCTTTTGTTCATTTTTATTCACATCAGGCACCAGAATCTTGAGAACAAATGATTCCATTTTAAAGGGACATAAAGGGTCCAGAAACTTCTCATGGTGTGCTCAGTTGTCAGAGATTTGTGTTAATTTTTAGGTCATTTTATCTGTTTCTGTGACTCCTGAGGAAATCAAGGGTAGACTTTTAGGATCATGATATTAAAGCTCTTTATAAACTGTAAAAAACAAACTACTTTTGAGGAACACCTGCTTTTGTTACCATCAAAACTAGCCATCCCATCAGCTCTAAAAAGACCGTTCCAGGCTGGGAGATCACTCAGTCAGGAAAAGTGCTTGCTTTACAGGCACAAGGGCTGACCCTGAGTTCCATCACATTAAAAAAGCCCAATATGGCCTGGCGATGGTGGTGCATGCCTTTAGTCTTAGCTCTCCAGAGGCAGAGGCAGGGGGATCTCTAGGTTCTAGACCAGCCAGGCCTACAGAGTGAGTTTGAGGACAACCACAGCTACCCAGAGAAACCCTGTCTCAAAAAAAAAAAATCAGGGGCTGGAGAGATGGCTCAGAGGTTAAGAGCACCGTTTGCTCCTCCAGAGGACCTGAGTTCAATTCCCAGTAACCACATGGTGGCTCATAACCATCTGTAATAGGATCTGGTACCTTCCAGAACATGCAGAACAGTGTATGCATGATAAATAAATAAATATTTTTAAAAAACAAAACAAAATGCTCAACATGGCAGTGCACTTTTAATCCCAGCACTGGGAAGAGGAAGAGAGGAAGATCACCAGGGCCAGGTAGCTAGCCAGCCTGCCCTACTTGGTGATTTATCAAGTGACAGTCTGGCTCACAAAAAGAGGGGGGCTTCCAGATGACTCAGTAGATAAGTGTGTATGCTCTCCTAATGACCTGAATTTGATTCCCAGAACAACACAATAGGAAAACAGTCCCCCTTCTATGCATATGTAAATGTAATAATTTCAAAAAACAACACCCAAGTTTGTCTTCTGGTGCAGACACACACACACACACACACACACACACACACACACACACGTCTTATTTGGCACCATCCACATGATTTTTTTAAAAGCTGCTACCCCCTCAGAAAGCTGATTGTGAGGGGTTAAAGGACACACGAACAGTTCTGGGCTCTCTAGAGTTGAGGGTTATACCCTCATCTTCAACCCAAGAGAACAGGGTGCACTACTCAACTGTGGAATATTCCCCAGCGAGCATGCTGCAACTGGGTGACTCCTCCCCCTCCAGCTAAGTAGGAAAAGGCATAAATTTCTGGTTCAGACGATTGGGTTTGAAGCTGGTGTAGCGCAGGCCAATGTGGCCTGTTTCTCTCTTTACCCGTGTGATCTCACTCTATTTCAGTTATCCATTGATAAGCAACAACAGCCTCAAAGTAACTATTCAGTATTCTGTTTGGACAGCTATGTGTCAGAACTCAGCTCATGGATTTGGTTCTGAGGGCAGACTGTATGCGGAGTGCCTGGGATCCTTCTGGGGGAAGGTGTACTGGCTACAGAGTTCTTGAGGCTTTGTTTACACTCCAGAGGACTCAGTGGTTCTCCAGTGATGTCTTCTCTATGTGGCTGGCTTGGGCTTTCGTCCAGCAGATTGGCCTGAAGGTAGAGAAGACTTCAAGAAAAGAGAGCTTGCCAAGCCTCCAGGCAGGTTTTGTCTTCTGAGAGTCTAGCCATGGAAGTTACATAGTATCACTTTTGCTCTCTCTTAGCGTAACAGATTACAGAGGGGAAATAGACTGCCTAGCAGTAGGAGGAAAAACAAAGAATTTGCAGCCATCTTGACCCATCCCATGCCCTCAAAGAAATGTTGGGAAGATTTCTTTTTCTAGAGATATGAAAAACACTTAGCATGGCATTTGGCAAATTATGTCAAATTTATGTTTCATAAGGGGCAGTTATTGTGAGAGGAAGCATAATGAGCTGTTACCTTGCAGGTATTAGGCTGACTGCAAATGACGAATTTAGTCTGAATTCAGCCACAGCTGAGTTGAATGCAAGGCCTTAAGAGATACCATTGCAGCCCGGCGTTGGTGGCGCACGCCTTTAATCCCAGCACTTGGGAGGCAGAGGCAGGCAGATCTCTGTGAGTTCAAGGCCAGCCTGGTCTACAAGAGCTAGTTCCAGGACAGCCTCCAAAGCCACAGAGAAACCCTGTCTCGAAAAACCAAAAAAAAAAAAAAGAGAGAGAGATACCATTGCAGGTCTCTCTGTCTCTCCTCCACCCCCCTCCCCGTGTCCCTCTTACTCCTCAGTCCCTGTCCCCTGTCTGTTGTTTCAGCTCACCATGTCTGTCTAACATCCTTATTCCCTTCCCCTTGTCCATTTTCTCTGTATGACAGCTTTGGGCCTACATGCTTAGGAGTGATGGCTTTTCTTTTAAAGGGGTGGGGAGATCCTGGGGCTGGAGAGCTTGCTCAGTGTTTAAGAGCACTTGTTGCTCTTCCAGAGGACCCAGGTTCAGTTCCCAGCATCCACATGGTAGCTCACTACTATCCTTAACTCCAGCTCCAAAGGACGGGTTACCATCCTTGGCTCTGTAGGCAC